CCCACGGAGATGAGTGTTTTATGTGTCACATTAGCGCCCTCTGCTGGGCCCCTGCAATTAGGCTCCCTTCCCCCATTTACAGGAAATTTGGCGGTAAAGCTCTAGTAAAGACGAAAGCTAAAATCGAATGGTCCTATGCTTAGTTTGAGTTTGCAAAGTCACAGCACGTGCTCAATAAATTAGTCACTAAAATTCCAATCATATCATCAGCATTTGCAGTGGAAACTGAGGTTATCTCAACAGAGTAGGATAACTTCACTTACATAAAACACTTATACTCTAAGAATAACAGGTATTAAAGGAACTTATTAATATTTTATAACCTTACATAATTGCGGAGCCCCAATTACAGTCCCTTTCAACACATGTATTCGTCGGTGAAGGTGAAACTAAGCCTTTTTGAATTTCTGGCACAGACTTTGAAACTAAAATACAAATATCAAAATACCTACTTTGTGGTGCGACATTATACATTTTTTACTAACCCTAAATATTCTAACGATATTGTCCAGAGTGATGTCCATCGCCCGTATCTGAAGCAACACAAAGACACACAGAACACACAAGGCAAAGCCTGATCGTGACATAATCAGTCCAAAAAAATAAATATTAATATTAATAACCTAGATAATTAACAAAGGCACAAGTAAATATGTATAATTATGTGGTTTAAATACACTTATACTGCCATCTAGTAGTAGAAAGGTGAACACTTACTTTGCGTGTACTTACAGGCTACACTCTGCGTTCACTAAATCAACAGCACAACACAGTGGAACAAGAAACATCAGTGCGAACAGCAACATTTCTGTGAACACAAAAACAAAAACTTCGGAAATTAGTGTTTGGTAGATTATTTCTCTGTTGTAACAATGCTTCTTGGCAATAAATTTTATACCGTTGGAAAGCCTGTTTATTTACCTTTCAAACGGTGCCTCAATTGTAAGGAACATGCATTTCTGGGATGAGCAGTACAGCTGAGTATGTGGTTTGCACCCATGAAAAATTTGCCTTGAGTGAAGGAGAGAAACCTAAGCTCCCTCCGTCCTGCTGCTGTCACACTTGACAGTCAACACTGCTTCAGTAGAAACAAGTCAAACAAGTCCTGCAACATCAATGAAACTGTTCAATATCAATATTTCCTTTGGGCAAAAATGTTGATTCAACGTTTCGGTTATATTGTGCTTTTCAACAGATTCATAATCTATCATAGGTCGAGCTTCTTGTTATTGAGAGCGAGAATTTGTTCATTGACAGTTTGCTATTTGTTTCAGTTTATTACATTTTTTTTTAACTTATTTGTTACATGTTCAAAGTAAATGAATATGTATAAAATGAAAGGAAAGGATTCTCACTGTCTATTCATATTCATCAACATGAATCCCATTACTGCTCTGCAACATCTCCCTCTTTTGCCTGAGTGGTGGGAGCAGCTCCTTTGGCTGCGGCGCCATCCTTTATGGAATAGTTTCATGGAGGCGACAGAGGGAGAAGACGTTTGGGAGCATGAAGCGCGACTGGACCTGAACCTTAGACACACCCATGTTGGCCAGGAGAATCAACTCCTTGTAGCTGATTCATGATTATTCTAACACAGCTGGTGAAAGTCAGGGCTTTGAAGACCTTTGCCTTTCCCATTTGTGGAGAGAGTCTCGACATGACAGTCCCCAGCCACGGTATCCCATGCTCCCTGTAGCGCTCCAGGTTTTCTGCCACAGACAAATTTCCCCTTGGGGATGAATAAAGTACTATTCTATTCTATTCTAGGTTGCGGGGATACATAAGGGAACGCCTCTCGATACAGATGTCCCCCGTCATGGCTGCAGCCCTGGCCTGTGGAGATGGTTCCTGGCTCTGGACATGTAGCTCCACATAGTCTTTAAAGTTCCAACTAACCCTCACATCTCTGAAATGTATGGCGGGGCAGTACCGGAGTTTCAGCTCCTGGAAGCCAGCAACCAAACACCGTGTCACATCCTGTCCAGTGCCAGCGACCAACTGACGGGCCTTCTTGAATGTGTTCGGTACTTGCGCTGTTGTAGGGAGCGAGTCCTATGAAGCCCCTTCTGCATGTGACACTGCACGATTGTGCATGGCCTTTGTGAACTGCGGGTGAGAGAGGTCAGCAGTCACGATGACCCACCAAAAAATCCTAAGCAAAAAAGATTATTCGACTGCAGCCTTAGTATTCATAAGTGTCCCCTTTCTGTCTCCTTGCATTCAAGTGTCTTATCTTTGTGTGTCGTCAGGAGGGAGCTGGTCCGCTGCAGGTCATCCCCCAGCTCCTCATACTGGGCTGACCCCAGACCAGAACCGATGCACTAGCAGTGCGTTAGTGTATTGTTGTTATTCTGTTGGATGAGGGCTGTGTCCCCTCATACATCTCACTACAGCTGATTTTAAAGATGTAAATCATGCTCATATCTTATAAATCTGTATAAATACATTTGGTATTACTTCATTAGATTTAATGCAAGTGTATATATTTATATATATTGGTCACTTGACGCCCAAAAAATCATTCACATCAAGACACAAAACACGTGGTTATAAGTGTCAATAGATTTCAGATTAGAATGGAACATTTTTGGAATCATCGTTAACTGACAGCCGCTCCGAGTTTAAAGAGATATCGATGAATAGTTTCATTGTAATAGCTGGTGAGTGCAACTGTTAAAGAAAGTTAAAAGGAATATTGGACCATACTCTTTTCCAAATAAGTTTTGGGAGAATGAATAGTCCGTCCATGTTTTAATAAATGGATAAATAAATAGATCTCACTCTACATGAACATACTGTACATGAGAATGTGCACAATATACTGTCAAAATATCTGCATCACTCCTCTGTTCATGCTCTCTGTGGACAGCTGAGCAGAGCTGAGGACAAATAATGCTAACAGATGACTGAAATAAACACCAAGTTTGTCCTGGTGGATTTAGCAGAGTAAACACCACCAAACAACCACACCTCCATAGAGCTACCAGAATTTGGCTTCAAATATTTGAACAAGGTGTGTTAGACTCCCTCAGCCAGACTCAACTGACTGAACACAACCTGTCTTCAAATCAGCTCAAAGGATAAGGCAGGCGTTACTCCATATTCTTCTTTTTGTGTCCAGTAATCCCACGAACAGACCAAACCAACAAAGACTTAGTGCGTCTCTCAATACTTTCTGACTTCCCTTTGCTCTCTGTGACCCTGAGCCACAAGCACATTGGTTCTTACTGAAGACATACATCTTTAAATACAGCTCACAAATGGATCATTTCATTTTTAAAGAAGAACAGGGGCACTGTAGTTTTTATCAATTGTTATTGTTATTATTGTTGTTTCAAGTCCAGTTCAGAAGCTGCTGTGGTGTTGTGAGTTTTTGAAAGCATGCCGGCAAACTGGTGACCTCACAGACCCAGAGCAGATCTGAGCCGGTGAGTTGACCCAGAACAAATGAAGAAAGAAGCATTTTATGCAGGGAGCGAGAGTAGTGTGTTTATGTAAAGACTGAAAAACAAAGGTAAGGGGAGACGATGACAAAGGGCAGGAAGGGGGGCATTCACATTCAGACCTGCAGGAAGGAGACACAGTTGGCATTTGGTCATTCAAGGGGCCGACACAGCTGGGAGCCTGAAGTAGCACCTAGGCGTCATTTGGTTAGAAAGTCTGGCCACAATGTGTATTCTTCAAATTATTCAAACCGGAGGAATTAGTGCGTTTGTTGGGGACTATTTTCAGCGACGGATTAATCCGCATTTGGTGCTGGTTCATGGTAATGGGGGTGACCGTGGCTTACTGGGTAGAGAGGGTTGTTCGCTAACTGTAAGGTCACCGGTTCAATCCTCGGCTGCAATGTGTCCTGTGTCGAAGTGACACTGAACCCCGGGTGCCTGCATGGGCAGCCCACTGCTCCCTACATATACAGGGATGGGTCAAATGCAGAGAATGATTTCCCCACTGTGGGACTAATAAAGGAATGTTTCTTTCTTAATGAATACAATACTTGGTAGAAGGATACATCAACAAAAACATAGAATATGATCAGAAATAATGATTGATTCTGTTTATTTTGGTTCACAAGTAGAAAAAAAACTCCATTCATTGTTTTTAGTAAGTCAGTGTTGTAGTTTATTGTTTACAGTAACAGGCATCAGTTCTCACAGTTTATTTCAGCTCAGTATGTACCTTTTAAATATTGCACACACAGAGGCCAATTCACACCTGGTATTAAAATGTGTTCTTTTTATCTTGTTTGTGGCCGCATTGTGATCAAATGGATGTAGTTTATGTCTGAATCACTTTTACTAGCTACTGCTACTTGTAGCTTCTACTGGGCTTTTTTCCCATAAACTGTATAACATGTGGACTTGGTCTCCATGACGTCACCCACAGATTTCTGAGGAGCCGTTGTGAAGCTCAAAGCGGATGTCACTGACGACACAGTATGGCTCTAAAAATGGACAAACGGGTGGATCGTCGGTGGAGCTGAGGTGGCCCTAGTGTCACGGCTAGCAGCCTGAAACGGCACCACCCTGTCACTCAAAGCGGCCACGCCCTCAATTATGTCCAACTTTAAACCTTTGTATAAATTAAACAGATGAGTTTTATAAAAATTCACTCCCATGTCATGAACATGAAAGTTATCTATAGAGAACAAAACCGTTTTTTGTACCAGGCTGTAAACACGTTTACTGTAAACGTGTTTACAGCCTGGTAGTGCCTGAGTGATGTAGAGACGCTGGCCACGTCTCTGGTAGCGGCAGCGACCTGTCAATAACAGTGAGCCCGCCCTAAAGCATACCCTGCTTTATGGTATATTTGACTCTAAATGGACCATAATGTACTAAATGAACATCATGCTGTATTGAAGAAGACTTGAACCTAGAGATTGAGACCATAAACTTATGTTTACAATGTTTACTGAGGTAATAAATCAAGAGAGAAGTAGTCTTTTTCTCATAGACTTCTATACAATCATCATTTTTGCAACAGTTGGAGTCGCCCCCTGCTGGTCAGCAGAGAGAATGCAAGACACTTCCGCATTGGTTTCACTCAGCTGAACCGGAGGTTGCCGCCTGTTATTAACATGGAGGTCTGCAGGGATTGACTTTCTTTTGGAGCCTCGAGTGGCCATTTGAGGGATTCACACTTTTTGGCTTCATTTATCAGCACCAGAGGGTACTGCTTGGTTTTTCCTTATCCAGAAAACGTTGTCCAGAATCAGATCACATTATAATGCCAGGTGGGAATGGGGTAATACGACCTACACACACACACGCACACACAAAAGCAGTGCTTGTAACCCTCCCCGCTACTGAAACAATACGAAGGGGGTGACGAGAGTAGTGTTCGACTGATGTCAATGCCATTTAAAGCTGCTAATAGTCCAAAGTTTGTGAAGAACTGTTTTTATTTAAAAAAGGAGAAAAGTGTTCAACACTACATTCTTAAGACAATAAACTGGCTCAGGGACTATCAACACTGTCATGGAGAATCTGGAGGGGGAGCCTAGAGGATAAAGCCACTACAAAGACACCAGTTTGTTGTCCGGTGGACTAGTCTTTACATACTTATCGCTAACGATGAGAACAGCACGAGGTAAGCGGGTGAGGTAAGTGTGAAATTTGAGAGTTTGAAGGACTTCATTACCCCGAGGACACGTAATGTAATGTGAGTTTGTCTGAATAAAGCTGTTGTCTGCGGTGAGATGAAGATGTGGAGGAGCTGGAGTTAGATCTCACACACCGGTATTCACCTCAACACCAGAATACAACCTAACCGAGCAGTCTTATCAAGCTAATTAAGAGGTATCGATTACACCTTATGGGACACGTTAAAGGAGCAGTGTGTAGGATTTAGTGGTAACTAGTGGTGAGGTTGGCAAAAGGGCTTAAAAAGGGAAAAAAGTATAACATACTGTATGTTATATAACTTTTCAAACCAAAGTCAGCGCTTATATGCAGTTTGTTTTTTTACGCGGGAAAACCAGCAAAAATTGGCGACAGACTCCTTTCTATTCTTTTTCTGGTGTGACGTTCAATGACACAAAACAGGGTTAGTAAATAGTGAAAATGTTAGTTTGTTACTTATTCAGTCTCTCTTTCAAACTAATTTGGGACAATGTTTGAGTGCTGATTGAACTAAGACGGACGGAATTTGCCGGCACATTAATGGCAATTTTGTCGACTACAACTATGATTCGTAAATGTATTTTAATATAAACACGTTTCCCTTTCATCAAAACAAAATATTCAGGTTAGAAAAACAGTGTGTAAACTGTGTGTTGTAGCAGCTTTACTACAACACATTTAGTCTGGAGCACATAGCGACGGCCTGGTGGATCCACGTAACGTGGATGCAGCTATGCAGGTGTGTTAGTCTGTCTCACGGTACATTGAGTTTTTGAATGTGTGTGTGTGTGTGTGTTCAGATACATCTGTGGCTCATGCTTGCTCTTGTTTTGACAGCAGAGATGGCTGTAAAGCCTCCTATCATCTAATCAGGACACACAGAGACACAGGGAGGATGTTACACATATACAGTAAGAATAAGAGGGGGAGAGAGGTGATGCAGAAAAGGACACACACACACACACAAAAGTCAATCAATAGTTTCTTTGTCCACCTTCAGTCTCCCTCTAGTTCCATTCCTCTCCTCACACCTCGTCTTCCTGCTCCCCTGTAGTGAAAGGGAAATATGGATCAGATCAAAAGAAAATAGGGAGAGAAACCAGATGTGCTCCACAGCTGAGTGAAACCTCTTTTATTGCTCTTGGGTTTTGTTAAATATGTAGTTTTCCAACTTTCACACTTACTTCAGACTGGTGGGAAAGAAAAGAGTTCAAAGCTCCTCAAGAGAAACATGTTCAAAACTTCTCTATGAAAGTTGATGATATTTCCATCTGCAGCGCTATATATGAAGTCACTCGACCACCAGTCATCAGTCAAATGAAGTGTGATATACTGTATACGTATATACATCCTAACTAAGGTTCCACTACCTTCTCAGACTCAGTAAAATTACTGTAATATTGCATATTAGCCTGGTGCCTATGAATTGAGACCACTTACAGGAATTATTCTATGGGACTGGATGGTTGACAAAACAATGAATGGTTGTCCCTCAAAAAGCCTGAATTAGCCCTAAAACGGACGGAAATAATGTTCTATAAAGTTGTACAACCTTGCAGTGAAAGCTTCACACAGAAATCACAGTATGTCGGGAAATAATACATTTCAAAAAGTATTTATGGAATGTATTTTTGGTTGAGAAACGTCAACATTCAACGTATCCCGTGGTTTTTAAAAATGTACAATGCCAACATGTTTTCTGGGGTGTCATATGCTGAGCTGGGCCAGCTCTCTTAGAAGATGTCTGCTGATAGACCACTAAGCTAAAGGCGAACAAGGGTTCGCTATGATGACGTTTAGTCGTCTCATTTAGCAAACGCCTTTTTAAAGACGCCTAAAAGCTTCAAAGTTCATGAGTAAAGCACTGAAACATTTTATGTCACGGAACAAAACATTAAAGTTTCTTAAGCTTGTGTTAACCCCACACCTTATTTGAAGACCAAAAACAAATTTAAAAAAAACATTGACTTCGAGACAAGGGAACCGGACGTGTGAAAATGCTGAGTCATTTCTAGGGTTCAGGACTCATTCCTGCATCACACTATTCCATAAAAACTAATGACTAATGCCTCAGCTGTAATGTGTATTTATTGATAATTGGCTAATGTTAGCATGCTAACACACCTGTGAACATGGAAACAGTATACCTACTTAGCATTAGCATTTAACCTTGCTATTGTCAGCATTCTACTATTAGCATTTATCTTAAACCACATTAAGGGCAGCCAGATGGACAAACACAGTTGCAAGACAGGTTCTTTTATTTCCACAACAACATTTGCTCTTTTCAGCTGGTGATAGTCGTTTTTTACTCCTTTTTTAATGCTAGTTTTCTGTCCGACCTCCAGCTTCCTCTCCTCTCTGCTTGTCTTCGTCCTCTCTCTCCTTCACAGGTCTTGTCTCAGGTGGGTTTGTGCTGGTGGGACCAGATCGGTATCCGTTTACACTATATACAATAGTCCTCTGTCTCCTCCTCTTTCATCCCTCTGGCATTCTCACCTCTCCTTCACCACAGCGCCCCTATTCCTCCCTCCCCTCAACACACTTCTTCCCTCACTTTTCCCTCTTTCCCCAAAAGCTTCCTGTTACTCTGGCCCTTTACTATGAGCTGCGTTGAGGTCAGCTCAGATATTTACTCACATCACGTCTTAAAAACTATGTCGGCCTGCTCTTCATGGATATAGTTAGTTAGTATAGTGGACATCATAATGTTTGCAATGAGGTTAGCGAACCTCTAAGTGAAGGGGTCATTTGTTTAAAGAAGCATGAAGTTTACTCCTGACTCGTATTTCCGTTTAATCCTCCCTGGCAGCATACGACTACTTCGCCCGTCCTGTTCCTTCAACGTGACCTCTACAGGTCTACCTCTCGTGGTATTACGAGGCAGGACGGGCCGGGGCTAGCTGGTTAGCATGCTCATTTCAGTACAAATCTCTGCAACACAATACACAGACGTCTTTGACATAACGCCTGCACTGTAATCATGTTCTGTTGACACAAAAAATATTTTTTAATAAAGTTCTCGCTTTACATATTGCACCTTTAATGTCCTCAACAACAGAAGATGCCACTGAGTTAAATTACGGTAAATAGAGTTTTTTTGGAGCTTGACCCATAGTAAGGATTATTTAAAATATCTCCGCTCCTGCTAATTTGATTTTTGGACTCCTTTTTTTTCCGTCTGTCTCTTGCAAGCCTCCCAACATTTAGGAAGTGCAATACTAAATTTAGATCACCTTTTAAAGAAAGAGGACATGGTTTGTTGAAGTCAGTTGCTACAGCAGGGTCAAATGAGATGATTTACTGCATGAAAAATACTGTGTTCCTCCTGTCGCTGACTCTATGTTGTGTACCGAGGCCAACTGATAGTAATGTGAAAGCGTCACACTGTGAAGAAGAATAAGCGATAAAAACAACACCAGCATTTCTTTGCAGGCTCATCTGTTTTTATACATCTTACCATGCTGACATGTAGAAATAACCACAAAGTTTTACTATCTGCAAAAGTTCAGAAAGTCTTTTCTGTCTCTGAGCTCCAAACATTCTGCTCTGTCTTCCTGCCACAGTGCTGCTGAGCTGAATCTGGGACCCGTCCGTACACTACACACTGCATATAGGCTTGTCCCAGATTAGTAACTGAACCGGGTTAGTTCTTCCAGGGCTTGACCCACTCCACTGTAGTTTCAGAGGACCCAGATACCTCAGGGACAGAATGCCTAGTTCCATTAAAAGACTGTCCCTTGAGAGGAAATGTGCTGAACTAACTAAAATCACAGAGAACAGTGTTTTTTATTCATTATACATTTATTTGACTCGTATCTTAAGATTTAGTCTCATGTAGGTGGTGAATTAAAGCTGCACTAATACGTGTTTTATATTAACAATGGACTAAGTGACTACATGTAAAGTAATACGAACAAATGATCACTTTACGGAGCATTGTAGAATTTTCAGCTTACTGTTTCGGTCTAACGGACGCAAATTTAGACATCTTACGAAAAGTTTTTTTCCATGCGTTCTCCTATAATGTCCAGCAACACGAGCAATCAGTGCGCAGGATCTGTTTAGGCAACAAACCTACTTGGTTAAGTTAAGAAAAAGATGGTTGGGTTAAAAAAAGGATGTTTGTTTCTTAGCTAACACCACATACGTACGTTACGTAAGAAAAGTGAGTTGAAATGAATCAACATTGACTTGGTTTTGTGCGGGACTCGAACAGCAATCTCCTTGATGACAGTTCTGTGTTGGTTTGACCTGTCCATCCACCCAACCTTGCCCTTAAGCAGACTTCTACACTCTTTATACTACCTCACCTGACTTCCTCAGAGGCAGCCCTGCAGATCTTGCCTCTTGATTAAGTCCGTTATATACAGAATATAGTGCATTACTTTTCTTAGGTACGATTACAAACAGTGAATGCGAACAACTTGAGCTGGTGAGCATCATGGAGCGTTAAGCAGCAGAGTGAATATTGAACTTACATTCATCGGGTGGAAGCAAAATAACTTCAAATGAATGCTAATGTTGCTCTGTGTCTGCTGGATGTGTAGATAGGCAAGTGTTCGCTAACAACAACCAAAACAAGTGCTGCTACTTTAAAGCTCCTTACTTGCATTTATATATCAAGGGTTTACTGCAATGTCACGTAATCTGATGATTTATTGATGGAGAACAGGGTAGATATGTGCGTTGGACCTTCTCCTCAGGACAATACTTTTTTGTTAAAGTGGGCTGAAGCTACTCCAGCTGATGCACTGCATGTTAAAAACAGCACGGAGCAGAACTCATTGTGACACTGTTACCTTCTTGTATTTGTAGGTGCCACAGTTCTTCTGAGTCGGCAGTGGGAAGCGAAGATCACTGGAAGGCAGCGCGAACCGTCCGGTCACTGAGCGGCTGGGTGGGACGGAAGTTGTCCCCCAACATCCCATCGTTCCCTTCTAGTAGCTCCGCCCCTTTGAAATGGGACCGCAGCCTCCGAAACTCCTCGATCTGCAGAGGAGGAAAGATTTAATTTGAGAGGCCGAACTATAGGTGGCAGCTCCATATATCAAGGCTCCACACATACAGTATCAGGATTGATGTGTGTGTGTGGGGGGGGGCACCGGAGCGTGGTGAGTACTCTGTCCCAGTATTACTTTCCCCTCTCTGTCTGCGGCTACGACCATTCATCCTGTAGCACTCTCCTCTTTTACTGTAATTTGTGACACGAAGTATGTTGGACATATACCTTTTACTGTCTTGGATCTATTGGATTGAATGGACTCCTTGTGTTTTTAATACCCTGTTTAAAATCTTTGCTGTAATAAACTTTGTAATCTTGGGGGAATCCTGTCTCAGTCCATCATTTACCGCCACATGTACCAATAGAGGATCTGTGGGCTTTTAGTTGGTTTGAGCCAGTAGTAAAGGATCGGTGTACCCTAAAAATTGTAAACCAAATCCGGGCCTTGCCGTGGCCCGTGGTCGCATATAGATACACAGGATTATTCAAGTCCTCTGTATGACATCAAACATTTGCTCTATACTCAGGGTTTCCTCAGGCTGTCAAAAGGAACCTGCATGGGTGAGAATTAGCAGACTGGGACCCATGTGGAGTCTCTAATGGTGGATAAAGACCCTTTAATGACATAATGATAGTGTGGGAAAGAAATGTGAGAATGTGACAGCTTTCAGAGCTGTGAAAGCTCAGTGAATGTGTTGTCAGTCTATTATTTCTGGTGATTTCAGCTCCTGATGTTTGCCTAAAGAAAGCATGGCAGATGGCTGAGCAAGCAACCTATATTTACCCAGCGCTACAAGAAACATCTCTTGTTTTCTTATTCACACCAGAATGTTGCGATCAGAACTGTGATGGAAAGGATTCACTATCTGACTTCCCGTTCACGTGTAAACCACCACTGATACTATCGCTTTTACACGCATGTACTGTAAAGTGGCTGGCCAAGACAAAGGACAGTTCCTGTGCTGTCAGGCTGTTGGCTAACAGAAACCAGATTTATAGCCCGCTGTCAAAGTGCAAAAGCCTGTAGGCATAGAAACACTTGAATACCTGCATGCACTGTGCACACACACACACACACACTCTCTTTTAGCAGCCAATGATAGCCGGATGTTTGGAGACGTGTATTCTAGGTAAGCAGGACCTGCTGTTTTACAACTCTTCTGCTGTTTGTGTTCATTCAGCAGCTGGTGCTCAGATTAAACAAATGATATATATTATAATTTGACCTGCTGCTGCAGTGACATAGCTCAAAGAGGCTATTAATGAATAACTCTGAACATACAGACATGATGCACATACTTTAAGTTTAATTCTGACTTGCGCTTCCTGATTATATCTGATTCATCACAAATAAAAGTCCATAAAGCCAGAATTTGCCTGAGAATCATTCTGTATTGAAGTAATCCAGTGATAGTTGTCTGTACTTCGGTGAACTGCCAATAGCTAATTCTACATACTAAATGGTGCCAGTTTGACAAAATAAAGGCTAAGAAACGGGCTCAAGTTGTAGCCAGCAGTGGAACTCACTGCCTGCATGGCCACATGCTGCTTCCTGTTTACATCCCCTAAAGTCCTCAGGTTAAGAGGGAGTAGATGGTGGGTGTCTGGGGGTTGCAGTTGTCTCAGTTTTGTCGAGGGGTGTCAGCCTTTGACGTAGAAAAATGCAAAAAACTTTGTCAAATTTTTTGGTTTCTTCTTGCTGAAGTAGTTTTTCCTCTTTGGGCCTCTCAAGTGGTTTCAATTCAACAATTATGTTATTGAAATTATTTTTTAAATAATTGAGCGGCTCACATGTGACTATGACAATTAGCATCTGAACCGTTTTAATCAAAAAGAATCCTCGTGCCTAAAGCTTGCCGATGATTAATGTGCATCATCTCCGTACAAAACCTTGTGGAATGTTGTAAAGTCCTCCACATTTGAATGGACACAGCCTGAGGCAGGAGGACAGCCGGGAGTCATTGTCCCTGTTAGCATTTCAAAGGGTCAGCGTGCCAGAAGGCAGCACGGATGAAAGACTGAAATAAATGTCAGATTAACCATCATCATCCTCGAAGAGAACCATGAGTCAGGCAGAGGCTGAATCCAAGGCAGTGTGACAGGCTCATTGATTGTCGGTGGGTGTAGAGGCTTCATGTTCTGTGTTGAATGCTAGAGGGCTTCAGGTCAGCGCTCCTGTGTTGTAAGAAAGCCACTAAAGGGCCCGGCATTGATCACATGTACAGCCTGAACTGAGGAAAAAGAGAGAGCAGCGCTCAAGCCAGGCTGACTGCTGCATTCTTGTATAAAATAGTCACGTGAGTGACGACCTTACTGTTGCTATGGTGAGCAGTTATGATCCTTAATTACATCACTTTTACTGCTCGCTTCTTTTTCCCTCAGGGATATTGGAAAAGACAACTATATCTTCATCTCACTGTACACAGTTGATATAGTACATGTTGGCATGTACTGTACTTATGTACAAATTTGAAGTATTTATACTTGTTTCTATTTTCTGTTACTTTCTATTCCTACTCCAAATCTCAGAGGCAAATATTGTACTTTTTACTGCACTAACATCTTTAGTTACTTTACAGATCTTCGATCAAAACTATATCATAAACTATTCTAAATTATATCAATAAGGCTTTATTGGTCTTAAGTGGGGGATTGGTAAGCTACCCAGCAGTATGTAAAGTAATATATAAAATATGTTAGTTCATTCAAATTAGCTCCACTTTAACCAGCTGCAACAGTAAAGTGCTGAACACATTAATGGATCAATAATAATTTACTTTATGTACTTTGAGTATATCTTGTGCAAATGCTATTTTTCATTAGAGTAAGATTTTTAAGGCAGGACTTTTACGTGTAACAGAGTATTTCTACAGTGTCACATTACTACTTCTAATTAAGTAAAAGATCTGAGTACTGTGCAAGTGTCTGTCCACCTGATGAATGTCTCCTTTCTGCTGCTAAATGCTGCACTTTGTTCACCAGCTGGTCTCTAACCGGGTCTGTCTGTCTGTTTGCTGCTGAGCAGGTGGAGCACAGTGGTTCTATCAGAGTTTCATCACTGAACGCAGAGAACCAACACAATGAGTTTAGAGACGCTCAAATACTCAAAGGCTGAGGTGAACAGAGTCTGTTGCAACAATGGGTCATTTAAACCCATTGTTAATAAAATATATATTAATTAGGTAGGAATGAAAGACAGGATGCAGTCATGAGTAACCCCTTTACAAGCTGATTATAACACTCCTAATATGGGAAAAGGAACCTAAAAGAGTACTTTTGAACTTTATCATAGCTGGTAGTAATATCAGTATTGATGCCGTCAAACCAGAGATATGGCTTTTTTCATGTGTGTCATGCAGCATGCTAGCAGCAGCTACATCTAGCCTCAGGCAGAGATGAGCAGCTGGCTAATACAGAGGTCTGGTAACTAGCTCACTTCTCTCTGACTCAAGACATTTATCAGATTTCACACAGCTCCTTCTGACGCCACAAAATGCTTAATACATACAACTTTAAAAAAAATATATACAGCGGTACTTTGTTTTGTAGTTATGTTTTACCTGTAACTGTGAGATGGTGAGAGGGTAGCGGTAGAGGATCCAGGTCACAGTTTCACTACAAGGTGGTGTGGTCAGAGATCCTTCATACACCCAGTAGTCTCTCAGTAAAGGGTCTGGAGGCAGATTAAACAATTTATGTCAAATAAAATGCTTCAAAAATCTGATTTTATTCTCCAGCTGTGCATTTTAATAAACAATCCAATTTTCTGAAATGGTGAGACTAGCTTACATGTTAGCACTGATACAATTGGAAATTAAAAGGTGGGTAGAGTAGGTGCTCCACTTAGCACAATGTACAGAAATGATCAAATGTCCAGAAATGCATCATTTTGTTATACTATGCTTGGGGATTCTGGCGATTCGGGAACCCCTTGTCTTGAAATTAGCCACCGTCCTTCAAAATGTGATGCATGTCACTGACTAGGGATGGACTCCACTCGCGGGTTATGTTTTAAATTCGGTAAAATACCTAGATTCATTAATGGGTCTAATTTAGAAACTCAGAGGATATCTGTGATTAAGGGATTGCCTCCACGGCTGAGTCAGCGGCTAGCAGCTAACTGTGCTAACAGTGCAAACAATGGCAACAGTACTGACAGAGCTAACACTGTTTACCTGGTGCAGGACTGCGGTATGTGTGGATGCACTTCGCCAAACAACTGCCAAATGCAATATTTGCAGGAGGGTTCTCACGACAAAGGGAGGAACAACAAGTCCCTGCTTAAATATCTATCTACCGTTCATTATTTTAAAGTAATAACCGTTTAACATGATGGACGGAGGTGAGTTTTCATTACTTGATTAGGACGTTTGTGCTGTCTCACGGTTCTACTCCTTGTTCTCTGACACGTCTGAGTCATGTTGTAAAAACTGGCATGAAGAATGAATGAATTGATGAGAGGATGATTGAGACCCAGCAGGCTGCCAGCTTGGGTCAACTATGGCGGTATAATCTAAAACTTATGTTTATATATTCATTGTGCATTTGAAATAAAAAAAGGTTTTCTGCTCACCAGGCAACAGAGTGTTGGGGTTGAAGCAGGGGATTATCTTGCTCTTTCCCTGATGGTGTGACAGCAACACAACAGAAATGATTGTATTAATGTATCATGCATGTTTAACAGTGGGGTTATTCATCTGATGTAAAAACTTGTCCTTGTTTTTTCAGGTTTAATCTCACCTTGTACTGCAGGTCCTGTAGAACTTCAGTGATGGCCTTCAGACCCAGGTGCTCCTTACCGATCTGATAAAAACAAAGCGTTACGGGTTTCAGTTGGTGGACTTATCGACGTATCTTATCAGTAACAGCCTAAAAGACGTCAACAGAGTTTTAAGAAGATCTTAGTTTGTATCTGCCGTATCCTTACAGGAAGTAAGCAGGAAGCTAAAGGAGCTGTCAAAAACAGGACGTGTGCGGTTGACTGTGGCCTCAGGAGGTCAGGGCCGTCTGGGGTGAAACCAGAAGGTGACTTCTGCAAGGTGTCTTCTCACTGGACTGGTGCCTCAGATCTCTTTCAAAGTGATGTTATTCTCTGAGGTTTGATGGAGTTAAAGTTCCCACCTTGTTTAAAGAAGTTTTGTTTAAAGAAACTAAGGATCATTTCAACAGTAAAGTCCTCATTTCATCGGAATATTACAGGAGGTGTTTTCCAACTCCTTTCACAGACCGACTTATATTATTACACTGGATGGTTCAAGCTCATCTGGAATGAACCTGTTTGTTCATTTAGCAAAACAACTCTTACAATCCCAGGAAGGAAAAACACTTAAAGGCCACACTGACGTGTTGAAAGAGTCAATGTTTTTAAAACTGAGGGACATAGAGGGGGAAAAGCCTGCAGATAGGCCTACTTTCAAAAAGTTCAAAATCTTTTTACAAAAATATTGTGTCAAGCACAGATGGGTGGTTCTTCTCAAATATATTCCACTCAGTGGCAGTTGTATTTACAATGATTCTACCCTCCTTGATAAAAACAGGGTAGGAAATTGAAATTTTCATTATATTATATGTTATATATGTAATACAATATATGGTAATATTCATAATGATTAATTGCTGGACTGTTGTATTGAACTGCTTTAGTTACAGTTAGTTGTACCTAATGAAACCACAATCACAATTGGAGGCTACATTACACTGACATTGAATAAATGTAGCATTAGTTATTTTCTTCAAATTTGTCGCACAGATCTTGTCTCAGTTTGTCTCGAGTGTATTCTGATGATAAATTGTACTGAAATTTATCTTATGTAGAGAGGGTTGTCCGGTAACCGCAAGGTTGGCAGTTCGATCCTTGGCTACCACATGTCCTGTGCTGAAGTGTCCCTGAGCAAGACACTGAACCCCTAACTGCTCCCCGGGCGCTTCTCAGCACCCAACTGCTCCCTATATACTATACTAGGGATGGGTTGAATGCAGAGAACTTCCCCGCTGCGGGACTAATAAAGGATTATTAAAAGAAATTAAAAAGCAAATAAATATCTAATCCCAACTCTCTCCTTATTGAAACATGGTGTTGTTTCAACACTTTTCTTATTCTCATGACAATTTCTTTAAACTTTTTTTCCCTGTCAAACTGAAGGATTTTGACACACACGTATGTGGTAGATAAACATATGTTTAATATTAAGTAGCTTACATTTAAAGTGTTTCAGGCATTGTCAGAATTTTTTTTTTTTACTTTTTTATGACCTGGTATGAAAATGATAGAGGAAAAATGTAAGACCCAATAAAAGCTTATGCTTGCATCACTTCAATACAAACTAGACATACTCAAATAATACCAACGACAATTAAATTCCTAAAAAGCAAGTAAAGGCAGCATGCTAGTCAGCTTAACATGTTGTTAGCTGTTATTAGCTCGTAAAATTAGACAGCTGTGTGTGCTTTGTTAATTGCTAAGTTGAGGTAGCTCTATTTGTTGGCTCAGGCAGCATGCTAGTTAGCTGAAATGTTCTTAGCTGTTTCTTTTGTTGGCTAGCATGTTGTTAGCTGACGTGTAGACAGGATGCTTTGTAGCTTTCAAAGGTGGAGTAGCAAAGGATAATTGTGTGGTTTGTTGATTGGTGGGTTGAGCAGAGTGCTCCTAGTGGTAGCAACATGCTAGCTAGCTTATGTCGTTAGCAGGTTGACATTAACCAGCATGCTGTAATAATAATAATAATAATAATAATACATTTTATTTATATAGCGCTTTTCAGAGTACTCAAAGACACTTTACATTAAAATCATTATATATAAAAGCAATACACTAAAAACATAAAATACACAATATCGGTCACACATTAAGAGCAAATGCTGTAGCTTGTGATGTTATAAATACAATAGAAAGAAGTGAATAGCTTGCTATAGAGGAGGGTGGTTCTGGGACACTACATTCTCAGTACATTCTCGCACAAATTTATATTGAAACAATATTACTTTTTTTCTATGGTAAGACAAGTGTAGGCTACATTATTACATACATTTACTGTATATTGGTAAAAATATATATGTATATATATATATTGGGAAAAAACATGTAGGACCCAATATGCGCACATTCAGGTTACATGTGTATATTTTGTCAAATGTGAATTTTGATATGGCAGTGTTGAACTGTGTTAAAACCAACCCCTTATCTGGTTACTATGCCAGCCTACTGGTTCTTGATGTGGATGTTTTACCTGCACGAAAAGAGCTATGATGAGGACTCCGTTCTTCTTCCCAAGAGCGTCCTCCAAAGTGTTGAACAGAGTGCTGTTCCAGTGAATCAGATGTAGCTAAAGATGGACACAGAGACAACAGAACACAACCTGTGTTTGAGAGGCCATTGTTATTAACAGGTGTATAGAACAGTGGTAAGTGAGAGAGTGAGAGACCATCAGCTGGGGGTGAATGATGGCTTTCTATATGGACTCTTATGTCAAGTTAATGTGACTGTGGAGAATCGATTGGAAAACCTCTACCCTGAAACACATTATCAGACCAGACCACAGAGCTATACTTCATAAGACTGAAAGCTGCCTTGGGACTTATCTTAAAATATATATATATATATATACAGTATATATATAAAATCTCAGCAATCTCTGAGCTGTCAGGCTCTTTGTCAGTAGTTTAAGCACAGATTTCACTTCCCGTTGAACTCTGGTTTTGTGGTTTGCGAAAGAGGTCAAAAGCTGTCTTGCTCTTTAAATATATCATGATTGCAATACTATGAAAATTGTATCCTTGAAATTTCAAGCAAATTCAACCCAGTTTTAAATAATAAGGCTGGTGATATTTTAAAAGGACTAGAACTAGTGTCTGTGGCTCTCGGCTCCAAATCACTCAAAAATGTTTTCCACTGAAGATGGTTCGCGAATACATTGTTTCATTTTTCTTTAAAAAAAAAGACTAAATCATTTTCTGAAACAGTTGGACACTGTCATTTTACAAAATAAAAGTAACTCATACAGCAGGAAATTGAATTTGTTGGGGACTATTTTCAGCTGCGTATTAATAAATGTTGGTGCTCTTGTGAGTCTTTGGGCCAGCAGAATGGTGAAGTTGGGATTGAGTCAAAATAAACTAGTGTCTGTGTTCAAGGTAATAATGGACCATGACACCCAGTGCAATAATGCGGTCATTGATGTGTTTTGACTGTACTTGTTAAGATGATAGATTCATTTTTTGATTAAAATGTCGCCAGACTTCTCCTTTGATCTAGATGTCTTAAACAGTACTCCAACCTAAACGACAAAATGTATTGTTTGTCATTGCCCTAACAGTCTGACGCTTCGTATGTCCAACCATCCACCCTGACCTCATCCCGAACAGGGATTTTTGCATAATCCCGAAATACGTTTAATGAACCAAAATACATTCAATGATAATATGGTTGTTTTTTATGTCCAATGCACAATCTGCACATAACATCTACAAAATGGTTAATACCAGGGAAAGATCATGGTTATGGATCTTGTTAAGGTTTGTCAACTGAACTACCTGTAACATGCACACCCATCCACCACTTTAACCTCCACCCTTTTACTACACAGAAACGGCACACTACCTGCTTTGGCACTAAATGTTGGCACTGGACGTAGATTGTGAGGTGCAGCATAGTCCAATATGAATGTAATTCCTTAGTGAGCGTTAATTCCAGCTCCAGTTTAGCCCTACGCTGACTTAAATGGGGAAAAAGTAATTCAATTGTGTGGCTTTTCTACAATTTCAAAATGTTATCAAACTGATTAATCACTGAAAGAATTGTGGCGGTTGTGATGCTCAGAACAATTTATCCTCCTTTTACAGCCGCAACAGTAGAGACAAAGTAAGCACAAAATAACACAGAGAAGAGTCATAAAGTCAGCAAGCTGACTCAGTAAAATCACTTATTTTAAGTTTAGTTAATTGAGTAAGGGTAATTTATATTTTTCCGATTGTGTTAATTATTCTTTCAAAAGTTACATAATCTCGCTCTAGGCTTAAGAACTGTATGGTTGACATGTTAAGCTGACCGCATGACTGAAGCAATGAGGATATGCATCAGGTATCATCAAACTGAGTCGAGCACTGTTGGCATTTCCACAGTTTCACTTTGGACCTTAAATTTCTAACTAAATGCCAGAGGTTAGTGCCAGGATATGCGGTCTGACAGATGGCAGCTAAGTTAATCATTTTTACTTTTAAAGAAAGGCTTGTTCACTTTCCCTCTGAGAAAGAGTGAGATGAGAATATCGATACCGTGCTCATTTTAGTACTATAAGAACTTCTCCTCACTGTGTTGTTGCCAGGTTTGGTACTTGGTATACTAAACTCAGTGCGTCTGAGTGCACTGAACTGTGGTTCCTCAAGAAATAGTTACGTAAACCACAAAATGTAACTTTAACATTTCTGTTTGTGTATTAAAAACTAACTAGATACACTGTTCATTTTTGTGAACTTCAGAGACTTCAACTTCAGTAGATACTATGTATAGTTTTACATTTTTGAGAGAGCAGGCTAGCTTTTTCCGCCTGCTCCCAGTGTTTATGCTAAGCTAGGCTAATCGCCTCCCAGCTCCATACTAGCTGCACAGACATGAGAGTGGTATTGATTTTTTCATTTAACTCTCGGTCAGAAAGTTAACAAGTGTATCTCCCTCAAATGTTGAGCAACGTATTTAAGGATTTAAGGACAGCTGGCTTTGCATATCAAGTTATGTGTTAGTGGGACCTAAAGAGTTAGCCTTCAAAAATGTCTTTCATCAAATTTTAACGTAATGTAATTTTACCTAATTTATTTGAGCTTTTTTTCGAGGCTATAGGTGTAAAGTTTTCAGACATATAGATGGGCACAACCCCAATCTAAATGTTACCTAGACACATATAAAGACATTGATTTTAGCCTGTGAAAAACAGCAGAATCAAAAGTGTTACTTGTTAGAGAAGATTAAACAGGTTCTGTGTACAAGGACTCAACAAGCTACGATGTTATCTGAAGGACAAATGTCAATGCCACAAGGCCAAACATGTGAACACTATTTCTTTAGTCTCTAAGAGGCTGTTGGTCTGCTTTGAATGTACGTGAGGCCCACTCAATGGGCATGGCCTTAATTGTGTGTGTGTGTGTGTATGTGTGTGTGTCTTTGCTCTACCTCCATAGGGAAAGCCTTGAAGTTGACAGTGTGCTCTGATCCTCTCTGGTTCTCCTTGCCCCAGTGGAACCGAACCTCGTGAAGCTCGTATTCATGATCACTAGGCAACGGACCGCCGGTAACCACTGACAACGGCACAGAAAACCCAGGGCATTGTGGGCAAGCATACACAGGAAGTAGAAGACAAATCAAAGCGATCAGAAGTTGTCACTAATGCTAATGTGCAACTCTTAACAGAGATGAGAAGGAAGCGAGATGGCTCACTCGTCAGCTACTTCCATCATCAGCTCCGGGAAAAACAATGTGTTTAATTCAGAATGTTAATGATTGGACACAGTTGGAAATGGTCTATAATGTGTGTTCATGTATGTCTCACACATTTATGCTTGTAGATGTGATGTACATAGAAGTAGCCATAAATACTCATATCATACTGTACCTCATCAGACTGCATCGAGAAGACATTAAAACTTAACAAGTATAATCAACATTTTAAAGAGGGTTGTTTACAGTGGGCTAAATTCATTCTTGTTTTCACACATTACATAAACGTGCATGAATGTGTCTCCAACCAATAACCCACTGGTTTCTCATCACTTTTTAAACAATAAGTAGAGTTTTGACAGGTTGTCTCCTGGGAGTTACCTGACTTGGACTTGAGAATGATGCGGACGGTGTGTCCGTCATTGATGACCTCACAGTCTCGACACACCACGTAGTTTGGTGATAAGCCCACGTCCAGGAGAGACGGGTCATACTGAGCCTCCCTGGAGTTCAAGTTAATGGGAGACTGGTACTCGCCGTTGGCTGATGGGAAATGGAGTCCCCATTCTACACCTATAAGTGAAAACAGGCACACGAACAAACACATTACATGGACCATATCTATCTAGTTCATTAGTGAAAGTATGTGAGTATTATCAGAAAAATATCTTTACAGTATCAAAAGTAAATGTACTCAATCCAGAGCAAGTCTACCTGTGAGTGTTTATATACTACATATATTATCTATATACATATACTGTATATATTATGTTATACTAGAAGTATATCATTAGATTATTACTCTGACGTTAAAGTAGCATTTCACTCTTGTAGTTGGTTGAAGTGAAGCAAATATTTAACTGTTTAATTTTGGGCTGTAATTTATGATTAATATTTCTGTCAGGAGGATCATGCGATTGCTCACGTGTGTCCCAGAGTAAGTGTGTACCTCTGTGTCCGTCTTTGGCTGATCTTGCATTCTGCTGCAGCAGACTGCATAATATTTTGGCTGGCCGGTTATGGCTCCATGCTCAAGGACCTCTCGTAGTTGCGGTGACTCACACTTTCTGAAAACAACTTTATTGCCTGTTTTATACTGCCATTGACTGCCTGCCTGACTGCCTGCAAGTGAGAACACTGTTTGTCTGAGCTGTTTGGCTCACTTTTAGTGTTTTGTACAGAGGGTTTGGCTAACAGCTAACGGAACTACCAGTACAGACACTGGTAGTTCTGTTAGCTGTTTGTCGCTACTCAGCCACTGCCACACGGGCAGACAGCTTGGTGAGTTTCATTTTGTTTTGGGCTAAACATGGTAATTAGCATTATTACATGAAGAGTGACTTAAACAATTTATCAGTAATCAAAACAGTCGCTGATCACTTTTTAGATAATTGACAAATGGATAAGGACAAATTGTAGATACTGTTTATTCCTTTATGCATCATATTATTGAAGTCAAGTGTCAAAGCTTCATTTGTAGATCGACTCAAATTTGTTGTGGCAAAAGATGAACCTTAAACAAGAGCAAAAATACATACAATTAAAATGAATAATGTAGTTTCTGTGTGTTTAATAGAGAAATAGCTCTGTGAGTTTGTTGTGTTTTAGGTCTGTAGCTTACCAGAAAGACATGCAGGTGGAAACAGCTTGCTTCTGTCAAAAGTGAGAAAGAGGATGTTCTAAGGAAAGCTAACCAACTAGCTAACCGCTCTAAAACTGCCTCAATTATGTTGCATCATGTTAGCAAGAACGCTTGTCAGGCTACAACGACAACAGTCACCTGGGTCACGAAAGTACACAAGGCCCAGTTATTGCTAGCTTAATAACAGTTTACCGCTTGTTAAAGCACTATGTCTCATTTTGTATTTCTACATAAATGTTAAATTCACACAATGTCTACATTCAGTGACGTTTTGTAGTCGCTCACAAGCTAGCTGGCTATTTCCACCTGCCTCAAGTCTGTGTGTTAAGCTAGTCTAAACATATCACAGAGCCATGCTGCTGCATTAAACACACAGATTAGATTGATATTGTTTCTATGATTTTACTCAGAAAAACAGTAAAGTTAGTCAAGTGTTGAGTTTCTGCAAACACAAGGTTTCTTTGTTTAACTATGTTGTGTAGTGCTGCAGAGGTTCCTCCTCTATTTACTCTTGAAAATAAGAAGTACATCATTATCTGTCCTGTTACATGACCTGGATAATGAATAAATAAATGTTATATGTGAGTACTTGACAACAACGGAGTTGAATTATTGTTGTGCATTTAAGTTTCCTGTGAAGTAAAGGTGAAAGCGGTTTATTCGTGACCTTTGAGAAATTATTTGTGACATAATGGAAAAGACCGAGAAGGAAGGGAAGCAAGTTGAAAGTGCTTGAAAACAAATGTAAGCAGGTTGTGGTTGCAGAAAGAGGGTCAGCCTGTCTAACTGGGACAGTTAGTTGCATGTATATTTGTATGAGAGATTGAGATATTGCAATATCTTTTTAAATAATGTGTGAACACCGTCTTAGTTTATGAGTCTAGAATGGTTGCTATCAACTTAAAGTCTGTTGTGCTGGCAGAGTGAGGAAGCACAGCAGAGTAGAGAAAGTGATACTACGTGACGCCTAAGGTGCCCACTGGTCTAGATTCCCTTCAGCTTTTTGCTGACCACAATCACTCTAACAGCACAATGAGAACATTGTGAGGTGTGTGGAACCCAATGTGTCTTTAAAAAGAGGAAGCGAACACTTTTGGTGGAGAGTGTCGCGTTCAAGAAAGCCCAGTACACCGGTAAACCCGAAAATGTACTCAACTCCTCCCGGGAGGCCTCTCTACTGCAGACAGGCTGACTAGTCTCTCCATAGCAGAGAGGGGTGAGGGGACCCGTCACATTCCCTCTTTCCTCAGCAACTAGAGCCATGACAACACTTGACTAAAAGCAGTGAGGGGTTCAGTGCAGCTACAGTACACACAACTGTGCTGTGTGTGTATGTGCTTGTAGGGACATAGAAATGAGTTTTATTTGGGAAGGTGCTAGATCACATTGCTAAACCATATACAACTACTGACTACCTGGTTGACTGATTGTCAGTCAGTTAATGTACTTGCCAGCATGATGTTATGACATAACTGTATCGCAAAAAACATGATTTAATACTGCATTTAGCAAATGAAGTCAGGTTGTTGAGACGTAGCCACAACCTACTTCAGGTATGTTTCTGTTCTGTAGCTTTTGGTTCTTCATGTATTCGTGCATCTACAAGTCTTCGCCATAGGAGTGCAGACAAAACCTCATTGGATGTCAGGTTTTATAGACCTTTCCTTTATATTTTTCATTCATATTAGCACAAATTGCCAAAATCCTAGATAACCTTATTGGCACATGAAGAATATATTTAGTTTGCCTCCTAGCAAGAAAGCCATCACCCTGAGATGGCTGCGAGACAAACCAACCAGCAAAGGACGACTGACCTGCAATTGAAAAATAAATAAACTGTGTGTTTTTGACCTTTATCCTATGACTACAATACCCGGTCTTCTAAAAATGACGTTCCCATAAAACTAAAACGATATTGTCAATTATTTTTCGAGATAAAAGTATTTTTGTCCAATTTTAGATATATTTCTTATTATAATCTTTTAAAGTCTGCATAGGGAGGAAGACTCTCACCCAGGAGACCACTCTTTGTATTCCATGTGGAACCAAAAGACAACATTGACTTATTTAACTTACGTCTGTAACTTAAACAACGTAACAAATGTGCTTATTTTAAGCCAAACCCTGATATTTTACTAAACCTAACCAAGTACTTTTGGTGTCGAAACCTAGCCAAGTAACTTTTTTGCTTTGTTTCGTTTTAATCTACACATTAATTATGTGTTTAAAACTGCGGCTGTAATCCGGAAGAAAATATGTTTCTCAAAACTGAGAATGTAGTATAGTTGTATGGGAACATAAAGTCATTTTGTAGGAGACAGGATTGCATAGTGTCCAATATGCAAAACACTGAACTAAATGTACTCCTCTGCCCTGCTGTTATTACAGACATGTTGGAGGTTTTCGGTTAGCTTGTGCTAGTTCTGGTCCACACAGTTTTGTAGAAGTGGCTTTGTTCCAGCTTTGTTGGTTGGTCCAGAGAACCAAAACAATGAACTGAGTTGCAGTCACGGCTATTTCATTCAGTTAATAGCCATATTATTCATCCATACATCTTTAAAAAAAATAAAAAATACGTTTTCGAAATGGTACCAATGCAATGAGTAAAGTGGGGACTTAAACCAGTGAAATGCCAGACTAACTTTGGATAACACTGACTCATGCTCTGTGGCCACAACAAACCAACGCAGCTGACTGAGTTACCTTTGTCATGTTCGTTTGTCTGTTGGTTAGCAGTATACCTCAAGAGGACAGCACTTGACGGGCACGAGTCAATTCTATTTATATATTCCATTATCACAAATCAATAATTTAGGGGCCAGGGGGCAGAAGCAAAATTCTGTTTCCAGTCAGTCACTGGTCAGATTCGCTTGAAGTTTCACCGTGAAACTCGGATACTTACAGGATTTAGACATTCTCCAAAAAATCAACATGACTTTTCCATCACTAACAGTATTTTGTTACAGATCCAGATTCACATGCAGATTACTGCAAAAGCTTCCAAATACTTTTTTATAAAAAGAAAAAGAAACATTGTCTAGTCTTGGTGGAGCTGTGTCCTCTCACTGAACTTTAGTTGATAATTCATATCATATCATTGTGTGGAGTTTTTTTACGATAACTTAACTATTGCCACAGGAATTGTTTTTTATTAGGAATTTAAAAGCACAACTTTAAAATGTATTCCAAATGTATTTCCATAAATAGTATGTATGGTCTTTTCAAAAAATCATAAATTATTTGTTGTATTCTGTCATTATTTGCTTTTATCTTCAATGGCAACTCATTGTTTGTAAGTCAGTTCTTCCAACATTCTAATGAAGACCTTGTAATATCAAGTGTCCTGCAGAAAGCTTTTAACCTCCCATGCACAATATGGCTCTCTACACGATAGCATGTAAGAAGTAACCAATTCAAATCATTTCAAAGCTTTAAACATATTATCTGTGTCAATGGAACATCCCATTACTTTTCCCTGTAGTTAGAATGTAGATTACTTTTAGTACAAAAGGTTTCCTCAGGACACGGATGTGATATTTGCAAGCCATACATTAATGTCTATCTTATGCCTACAAAGTATACTCACAGTGAGAATTTCACAGCTCAATATCACAGTGCATCCCTCGATGCTCAGTAAATGCAGCAGCAGAAAGATGACAGAACAAACCAACACAATTTATATTTACTCATCACTTTGAACTTTCACATGTACTTATGTGTCAGTGAACATCTTGGAACCCAGATTATCTTTCCCTATGTGGAAAAGTTGAATTGGACTAACATAAATCAGCTCCAGGTAAGGCTGGACGTGTCTCCTTTCACTCCGATCTTGTATCTCGTAAAGATAAGCTTACGTGTCATGTGGAGTATTACTCAGCCTGTGAAAACAGTTGAAAAATGTCTTCTGTGGTTCTGGAGGAGCATTGTTTTATCTAAGAAAGAGCGTGGCGTTTGAACGACATGACAGCGAGGCCCTTACAGAGTCACAAAGTGAGAGGAGCTGTTTCAGAAAGCCTTGGTCCCACAATGTTACGTGACTGATGGGGAGCATTGCCACGGCTTGGATGGGGATGAAGCTCTCCTGGCTGAATAATCAGCACAAGAGATGTGTTAAAAAATATCTGGCTCTTGGACGGAAAAGGGTACAAGCCTGGCTAAATGTAAAGTGAGAAGGTAACTACCACTCCCAGTATGCACTCCGGCAAGAAACTCCCAATCACGGAGCTTAAACTTTGACACTATCCTCAACCAGAATCTACTGGCAGTCTGTGATACCATCGGAGTGCTGGGGGTTACCGTCCACATTCACTTATGTTGGGTCAGTCAAGAGGACCGCATGCTGACTTCAGGAAGCTTTTTGCTCTGCGTCGCCTGAATTTATTTGGTGTTGGAGACCCTGAACTGGCCTGTATCTCAACAGGCTTTATGCGTGTCCAGTGCTGCAGGATGAGGTCTGTCTGGCACACTTCCTTGACTGTAAACCAGGCTAAACGGCTGGAGAGTAAGCAGAAGCAGGCTTACCCTGAGACTCTGTGCTCTCCCTGATTGTGCTGAGATGCAGTCAATTATACCCAGAAAGCTCCAGAATGCTGCTTCAGTCCAACTTCAGTGACTGGCTTTTTCTGTTATGTTTGCCACTGATGGCGGAGGGAAGCTATTGGTCATGTCAGAGATGGTAAACCTCCATTTGCTAAACTCTCGCGAGATGGTTGAGGTCTGGCATTGACCTTCCAATGGTTAAGGTTAGGACAGGTCCTCGACAGCAAGTCTTGCAGGACTTTTCAGATTTACCATCTAGACAAGACCCTGCATAAGGAAGCATATAAGGAAGCATACATTTGTCTCTTATGGATTCAATTTTGGATGAATTCCGTAACTATGGCGCAGCGTTTTGTTCACTGCAATGACGAAATGCGCAAATCAGCAACGATCAACAAGGCTTGTGGGAACTGGAGTACATAAAGCCGTCCCCATGGCAAACTTACAGAACAAAAACAATAATTCTGAGGAACTATGGAAATTATTAAAAATATGGTATCAATTTTGTATTTCTTCGACCTTTTTATATTTATTCCAAACAAACTATTCCAGCTGCTTTCATGTAAATCTGTACAGCAGAGGAACACCCACACAACTGTTTAAAACAGCAAAAGGTTACATGTATTAGAGTAAACTTTAAGAAAGGCCAGCAAAACAGACAAAACTCCACCTATAGAATGAACAGGCCGACACATTAAGAAAATAATGCTTTTGGTTAAGACCCCTTTTAAACCCATCTGGACCCTGAACTTTTTTAACAACACCCCATATTTCCCAGCATCCCTCCACATGCTGATGAAGACCAGCACCGGCCTACCTTCCTCGTAGCCCCAGTCCAGCTCATCTTTCCCCGGGTTATAATCCGACTCCTCGTTCACACTGTCAGCCATGGTGTTTGGCAGTCTGCTCACTGCGGGTAGAAACCAGTCCGTCCTCCCAGTAGACGCGCAGTCACACTGGTTTGGTCCGTTCACTTGGACACAAACTGAAGTCTCTGAACTGACTGAACTGCAGCCTGCTGGATGGGTTCCCAACTGAGCAACGACTCCCTCGGCCTTTCACTTTCTTCTTTAAGTCTTTTTCTGTTCTTTAGATTATTTTCTTTCTTCTATTCTTTGCGTCTTCTTATCCCTGTATGTCCTCTCTCTCTCACAGCTACTCACTGATGTGTGTGGAGCTCTCTGCCTCTGTGTTTCTTTATTCTGTTGCTCCTCCTCTTTCTCTCTCTCTCTCTCTCTCTCTCCACTTTGCTCTGCTGTTATCTCTCCCCCTCTCTCTGTCTTACTTCCTTTCTCTCTCTCTCTTGCTCTGCAGACTGCAGGTGTGCTTGCCGAAATAATCACCACCGTGCCTCTTTGCTCTTAGTGTATTCACTTTCGTTATTCTCCTTTCTATCATATTATGAATGTTTCTCAGTTATAGCTTGACTTGTATGATATTGTCTGTTGACCTTTCTGCTGTTTTGGGTAGCCTGGTGGTGTGTGTGTGTATGTGTGTGTGTGTGTGTGTGTGTTGGCATGCTGTCAGGAAGGTCATGCTGGTGTTTCGGTTGGAGGCCATGCACAGACCCACCCTTGGGTGTAGGAAACAGCAGTGGTTCAGAAAACAGGCAGAAAACAGTGGAGGGGGGGAGTGAAAGGCCAAACTGTTCTCCAACCTTGATGACTTCAAGATGGACTGAGAAACTCTTCCACACTGGATACTGAAACCATGAAACACACCAACGCTCACTTTTTGTCACGTGTTCTCGTGAACCTCGGTGGTCAGAGCCTGAAGCTTTTCAAAGGGGGGCTGTATGTGGACACTGTTACACTTTAAAGTTCTTGAATTCACACCAGGTTGAATTAAAAAAACATGGCTGGACAAGATGTAATCTGTTATTTGGGTTCTTTGTACAAAAGCGTGTGCGAAAAGTCAAGAGGGATAAATAGTTCATGTTCCCTTTTTTGTTCTTCCCTGCTTCATTTCTTTTTTTCTTAATCCATGTCCTCCAGGCTGCTGCTGTTAATTGCCCTACATTCCTTATCAGGAAATTGTCCTCAGCACCATCTAAATGTAGCCGAGCTCCCCTGTTTCCATTCTGTGGAACTCAAAGCAGAACCTCGACTGCACTTCACGAGTAAATGGTAAATGGTCTTACAAACACTTATCTAATCATTCTGACCCATTCATACACCACAGGCACAGCCTACGGGAGCATTTTGGGGTTAAGTGTTTTGCCCAAGGACACATCGACATGACTAGAGGCGCCTCAGCTGATCTTCTGATTGAACGACCCGCTCTACCACTGAGCCACAGTCGCCCACAGTTGATGGGTGGGCCCGTGTTGCCTAATTTGTGCCACCCAAAGATGCATGAATTTATAAAATTTAAAAATAAAGTGCAGGCGAAAGCTCAGAGGGCACCAGCGACCAATAACAGGTCTCATCAAGTCAAACAATTCAAAAAATAGACTGAGGTGTAGATGTGTTCGTGTGTAAATGCAAAATGTCCACACACTTCCCATGTTTACATTATGAACCAGAGCTCTACTTATATTTTGCTCAAGGATCTGCACTTGGAAGAAATTTAGGGGCCGGTCAGAAGAGGTAGACTCAGGCTGTCGGTGTGGCAGGGCCAACAAAACAAATAAAAAAGGCACCAGCTGTGCAGAAAATGTTCAGCCTATATGGCACTACATCTTGTTTCCTCCACTGGAAGGGCACCCCAGAGGGCCCTTTATCATGTTTTATCTGTAGGGACATCCCTCATCGTGTTTTCTCCAATGGAAGACCATCATAGGGGGCCTTTTATCATGTTTCCTCCACTGGAAGGTCCCCCAAGAGGATACTTTTCCATGTTTTATCTACCGTAGGGACATCTAAAAATGCATTTCATGTTTTATCCACTGGAAGGGGACCCCAGTGTTTTTTCCATCAGAAGGGCACCCTAGATGGCGCTTCCTCATGTTTTATCTACCGTACAATTATCCAAGAAGGCACTTTATCAAGTTTTCTCTATTGGAAGTACACCCTAGGAGGCACTTCATCATGTTTTCTCTATTGGAAGTACACCCTAGCAGGGGTGGGCAATTCTTTTTCCCAAGGGGCCACATAAGAAACAAGGACTGTTGTGGAGGGCCGGACCAATAGACTGAACTCAATCCTGCTCTATATTATTCTACCTCTTTATAAAAAGCAAGTAAATGGTTTTGATGAGCTGTGAGTGGTAAGAGTAAATTGGATGATCAGTGGTGGAATGTAACTAGTATATTTGCTTAAGTACTGTACTTATATACAAATTCAAGGTACTTTACTTGAGTATTTCTATTTTATTCAACTTTGTACTTCCACTCCACTACATCTCAGAGAGAAATATTGTACTTTTTACTCCACTACATTTGTCTGCCAGCTTTAGTTACTAGTTACTTTGCACATTATAATTTTTCAAACCTTTCCCAACTACCCAAACTGAACAGGGTATAAAATGACTTCAAATGAGCTCCACTTTAAACATCTGCAGCAGGAATAATCCAAACAACATATACATTTGTAATATCCATATATAACACTGACGGGGATCATGTTTTTGCAAAATTTTGGGAGCATTATCCACACTGCACGTGAAGGGAGAAGAAATCATGTGCATTTCACTCTCAACTGTTTTAAAGTCTTGAAATGGCCTTGAAAACTCACCATGCAGTGCCCCTAACATGGATGATACCTGTGGAGGTGTTCAACTGATGGTGTGGCTTCTTTCAGGGTGTGCAGCTGGGTGAGAGTGATACCTGCATCTGGCTTGAAAGAAACTGCAACTTTGTCATGAAAGCCTTCACCAGGCTGTACATGTGATGTGCAGAGAGGCCCTTGCCTTGCAGTTTGGTATTCAGATCATTCATTAGTGCAGTCACATCAACAGCAAATGCAAAATCTGTCATCCAGTTTACATCAGAGAGCTCTGGGATGTCCTTGCATTTCTTCTCACAAAGCTCTTGAATCTCTGCTCTCAGGTCCCGAACTCTTCTAAGCACTTTGCCCAGGCTGAGCCACTGACAGCTGTGTTCAGTCTCATGCTCCTCCAAGAGTGCAACAAACTGTCTGTGATTCAATGCTCTTGCCCTGATGACGTTAACTATTTTAGTTACAACATCAATAACATGGTTAGGTTTGAGCACATTCTGATGTATAATGCAATACAAAAATACACATTTCAGTTCTGGGTTTACTTCAGTCACTTTATCTTGCAAATCTTGCTTTAAAAGTCCAACATTTCTCCCCGTCAGATTTGGACAACCATCGGTTGAACACATGCCAGTTTGTCCCATTTCAGTCCCAGCTTGTGGAAGCATGTATTTACCTCCGTGAACAAATCACTCCCCGTCGTCGTCCCTTTCATTGACTGCATTGCTGCCAGCTCCTCTGTAATCTCGAAGTCTTTCGTTATCCCACGTACAAAGATGAGTAACTGGTCTGCTTTTTTTTGCAGCGGAAGCTCCAGATTTCCCGCGATGTCCTCGATCCTCCTCGTGACGGTGCGCCTGGAGTCAATTTTGTCGGATATCACAATGCTGGTCTTGGCGGCTGCATCCCTGGATGTGTGAAGCTTGGTAAAAAGGCCTTGTTGCTTTTGCAGTTCAGCTAACAACGCCTCAGACGTCCGTTCCCGCTCTGCATCCATCAATTTTTCGTATTTCTCCATGTGTTTCCTCTCGTAATGACGATTCAAATTGTAATCCTTCAACACTGCGACTTGTTCTCACCAAACTAAGCACACGGCTTTACCTTTGACTTCAGTAAAGAAATACTTTAAAGTCAATGTTTTGTTAAAAACTCTACACTCTGTGTCAATCTTTCTTTTTTAACACAGGCTGGCATTTTTGAGGGCTAACCGCTAACTCACATCTCCCATAAACTCAGTTCGCCAACACATTGCAGTGACGCTGCTGCTCACACACGTTCGCTAACGTACTTAAATTGAGAAGAAAAAAAAACAACAAAAATCGCCTTCAAAATAAAAGCAATGCTGCTCTATTCTGTGCATGATGTACACTTATTTACGTTTTATTCCTAATTCCCAATGACCTCCCGCGGGCCGAACGGCAAAAGCTCGCGGGCCGTACAATGCCCAGGTCTGACCCTTTGTCTTGATACCTGCAATATGAGTGAGAATAAAGCTATTTACGTCTGACATCCGACTTTATTATCGAGACCACAAAGCTAGTCACAGAGCTGTAATATGTGCTGTGAGACCTTGGCAGTTAGCATTTTACTGCCAAACGGCAGTCGAGGTCTGTAAAGAAGCGTTCCTGATGAATCGTCTCGAGTGTTTGCACGCGGCGGGGCGTTGTTGAGGTGTTGGAAATGATTTTGCGGTCTGGTTTCACAAGAGCTGTCTGACATGTATTGAGCCACAATCGGCACCAAGCACCCGTCCTACCAGAGCTTCCAACTCTTCGGATTTGATTTCATGGTGGACGAGAGCTTCAAAGTGTGGCTCATTGAGATCAACGGAGCTCCGGCCTGTGCACAGTCAGTACCATTCAGCTGATCATTTGTGTTCAAAATGTTTCTTTCACTTCTATTTTTTTTACTGTTTTTTTCCCCGTCCATGAATCTTACAGCCTTGTTCTCTGTCTCATATTCACATCTATACCTGCAGTCTGCATTTAGACTTCTCTTGGCCTCCGTTTACAATATGGAGAAAACAAGCTTTGAATCCATTTCCCTTGTTATGTAAAAAATGTGTTTGTTTGTTGTTGTTCTTCCTTGGAGGGTCAGAGTCAGAAATAGGAAAGCTTTGAAAGCATTATCATTGTTTCAAAGATAAACAGTAGAATTTTGCTCCTTACTGAACTTTTATTTTTGGAACTTTGATTGGTCGGTGAACTTGACGCTATTCAATGCAAACATGCCATGACAGTTATTTTCCTCTGCTAGATATTGGACTCATCCTGAGGACGGCTGCTGTCTTCCAGATGTTTTTACGGTCAGGTCACTACCGTTAGATCATCACTGATGAGAGATTTAATAATTAATGAAGGCCTAATTAATGAAGTTTGTGGCTGTGCCACATGCGTAAAATGCGCAGAACGCCTCTTTCAACGTGGAGACACATCGGTCCTGCTGCTGTGTGATGACTACAAGTATTTAATAA